ACACAAGACATCATAATCAATTTTGATGATTTCATTCAGTCTTAATCCATTCAGCTAGTGACTACCTTGATTTTGGTGTTTCTGACACAAGACATCATAATCAATTTTGATGATGTGTTTCAGTCTTAATCCATTCAGCTAGTGACTACCTTGATCTTGGTGTTTCTGACACAAGACATCATAATCAATTTTGATGATGTCATTCAGTCTTAATCCATTCAGCTAGTGACTACCTTGATTTTGGTGTTTCTGACTCAAGACATCATAATCAATTTTGATGATGTCATTCAGTCTTAATCCATTCAGCTAGTGACTACCTTGATTTTGGTGTTTCTGACACAATACATCATAATCAATTTTGATGATGTCATTCAGTCTTAGTCCATTCAGCTAGTGACTACCTTGATTTTGGTGTTTCTGACACAAGACATCATAATCAATTTTTGATGATGTCATTTCAGTCTTAGTCCATTCAGCTAGTGACTACCTTGATCTTTGTGTTTTGACACAAGATATCATAATCAATTTTGATGATGTCATTCAGTCTTAATCCATTCAGCTAGTGACTACCTTGATTTTGGTGTTTCTGACACAAGACATCATAATCAATTTTGATGATGTCATTCAGTCTTAATCCATTCAGCTAGTGACTACCTTGATTTTGTTTCTGACTCAAGATATGTCATAATCAATTTTGATGATGTCATTCAGTCTTAATCCATTCAGCTAGTGACTACCTTGATTTTTGGTGTTTCTGGCACAATATATCATAATCAATTTTGATCATAATCCATTTGTGATGATGTCATTAATCAATTTTTGATGTCTTAGTCCATTCAGCTAGTGACTACCTTGATTTTGGTGTTTCTGACTCAATACATCATAATCAATTTTGATGATTTCATTCAGTCTTAATCCATTCAGCTAGTGACTACCTTGATTTTGGTGTTTCTGACTCAAGATGTCATAATCAATTTTGATGATGTCCTCCAGTCTTAGTCCATTCAGCTAGTGACTACCTTGATTTTGGTGTTTCTGTCATAATCAAGATATCATAATCAATTTTGATGATGTCATTCAGTCTTAGTCCATTCAGCTAGTGACTACCTTGATTTTGGTGTTTCTGGAACAATACATCATAATCAATTTTGATGATGTCATTCAGTCTTAGTCCATTCAGCTAGTGACTACCTTGATTTTGGTGTTTCTGACACAATATGTCATAATCAATTTTGATGATGTCATTCAGTCTTAGTCCATTCAGCTAGTGACTACCTTGATTTTGGTGTTTCTCAAGATGTCATAATCAATTTTGATGATGTCATTCAGTCTTAGTCCATTCAGCTAGTGACTACCTTGATTTTGGTGTTTCTGACTCAAGACATCATAATCAATTTTGATGATGTCATTCAGTCTTAATCCATTCAGCTAGTGACTACCTTGATTTTGGTTTTTTTATCCACTCAAGACATCATAATCAATTTTGATGATGTCATTCAGTCTTAATCCATTCAGCTAGTGACTACCTTGATTTTGGTGTTTCTGACACAATATATCATAATCAATTTTGATGATGTCATTCAGTCTTAATCCATTCAGCTAGTGACTACCTTGATTTTGGTGTTTCTGACACAAGACATCATAATCAATTTTGATGTCATTCAGTCTTAATCCATTCAGCTAGTGACTACCTTGATTTTGGTGTTTCTGACACAATACATCATAATCAATTTTGATGATGTCATTCAGTCTTTTCCATTCTAGTGACTACCATCAATTTTGATGATGTTTCAGTCTTACTCAATTTTGGTCACATCATAATCAATTTTGATGATGTCATTCAGTCTTAGTCCATTCAGCTAGTGACTACCTTGATTTTGGTGTTTCTCACACAATATGTCATAATCAATTTTGATGATGTCTTCAGTCTTAGTCCATTCAGCTAGTGACTACCTTGATTTTGGTGTTTCTGACACAAGACAATCATAATCAATTTTGATGATGTCATTCAGTCTTAGTCCATTCAGCTAGTGACTACCTTGATTTTGGTGTTTCTGACTCAAGACATCATAATCAATTTTGATGATGTCATTCAGTCTTAATCCATTCAGCTAGTGACTACCTTGATTTTGGTGTTTCTGACACAAGATGTCATAATCAATTTTGATGATGTCATTCAGTCTTAATCCATTCAGCTAGTGACTACCTTGATTTTGGTGTTTCTGACACAATACATCATAATCAATTTTGATGATGTCATTCAGTCTTAATCCATTCAGCTAGTGACTACCTTGATTTTGGTGTTTCTGACACAAGACATCATAATCAATTTTGATGATGTCATTCAGTCTTAGTCCATTCAGCTAGTGACTACCTTGATTTTGTTGTTTCTCTCAAGATGTCTTAATCAATAATCAATTGATGATGTCTTAATCCATTCAGTCTTAATCCATTCAGCTAGTGACTACCTTGATCTTGGTGTTTCTGACTCAAGACATCCTAATCAATTTTGATGATGTCTTCAGTCTTAATCCATTCAGCTAGTGACTACCTTGATTTTGGTTTTTCTGACACAAGACATCATAATCAATTTTGATGATGTCATTCAGTCTTAATCCATTCAGCTAGTGACTACCTTGATTTTGGTGTTTCTGACACAAGACATCATAATCAATTTTGATGATGTCATTCAGTCTTAGTCCATTCAGCTAGTGACTACCTTGATTTTGGTGTTTCTGACACAATACATCATAATCAATTTTGATGATGTCCTTCAGTCTTAATCCATTCAGCTAGTGACTACCTTGATTTTGGTGTTTCTGACACAATATATCATAATCAATTTTGATGATGTCATTCAGTCTTAATCCATTCAGCTAGTGACTACCTTGATTTTGGTGTTTCTGACTCACAAGACATCATAATCAATTTTGATGATGTCATTCAGTCTTAGTCCATTCAGGCTAGTGACTACCTTGATTTTAGTGTTTCTGACTCAAGACATCATAATCAATTTTGATGATGTCATTCAGTCTTAATCCATTCAGCTAGTGACTACCTTGATTTTGGTGTTTCTGACACAAGATGTCATAATCAATTTTGATGATGTCATTCAGTCTTAGTCCATTCAGCTAGTGACTACCTTGATTTTGTTGTTTCTGACACAAGACATCATAATCAATTTTGATGATGTCATTCAGTCTTAGTCCATTCAGCTAGTGACTACCTTGATTTTGGTGTTTCTAACACAAGACATCATAATCAATTTTGATGATGTCATTCAGTCTTAGTCCATTCAGCTAGTGACTACCTCGATCTTGGTGTTTCTGACTCAAGACATCATAATCAATTGTGATGATGTCATTCAGTCTTAGTCCATTCAGCTAGTGACTACCTTGATTTTGGTGTTTCTGACACAAGACATCATAATCAATTGTGATGATGTCATTCAGTCTTAGTCCATTCAGCTAGTGACTACCTTGATTTGGTGTTTTTGACTCAAGACATCATAATCAATTTTGATGATGTCATTCAGTCTTAATCCATTCAGCTAGTGACTACCTTGATTTTGGTGTTTCTGACTCAAGACATCATAATCAATTTTGATGATGTCATTCAGTCTTAATCCATTCAGCTAGTGACTACCTTGATTTTGGTTTTTCTGACTCAAGACATCATAATCAATTTTGATGATGTCATTTCAGTCTTAGTCCATTCAGCTAGTGACTACCTTGATTTTGTGTTTTTTCTGACACAAGACATCATAATCAATTGTGATGATGTCATTCAGTCTTAATCCATTCAGCTAGTGACTACCTTGATCTTGGTGTTTCTGACACAAGATGACATCATAATCAATTTGATGATTTCCTTCAGTCTTAATCCATTCAGCTAATCAATTTTGATGATGTCATTCAGTCTTAGTCCATTCAGCTAGTGACTACCTTGATTTTGGTGTTTCTGACTCAAGACATCATAATCAATTTTGATGATGTCATTCAGTCTTAATCCATTCAGCTAGTGACTACCCTTGATTTTGGTGTTTCTGACACAAGACATCATAATCAATTTTGATGATGTCATTCAGTCTTAGTCCATTCAGCTAGTGACTACCTTGATTTTGGTGTTTCTGACTCAAGACATCATAATCAATTTGATGATGTCATTCAGTCTTAATCCATTCAGCTAGTGACTACCTTGATTTTGGTGTTTCTGACACAAGACATCATAATCAATTTTGATGATGTCATTCAGTCTTAGTCCATTCAGCTAGTGACTACCTCGATTTTGGTGTTTCTGACTCAAGACATCATAATCAATTTGATGATGTCATTCAGTCTTAATCCATTCAGCTAGTGACTACCTTGATTTTGGTGTTTTCTGACACAAGACATCATAATCAATTTTGATGATGTCATTCAGTCTTAATCCATTCAGCTAGTGACTACCTCGATCTTGGTGTTTCTGACTCAAAGACATCATAATCAATTTTGATGATGTCATTCAGTCTTAGTCCATTCAGGTAGTTACTACCTTGATTTTGGTGTTTCTGACACAAGATGTCATAATCAATTTTGATGATGTCATTCAGTCTTAGTCCATTCAGCTAGTGACTACCTCGATCTTGGTGTTTTCTGACTCAGAGTCATAATCAATTTTTGATGATGTCATTCAGTCTTAATCCATTCAGCTAGTGACTACCTTGATTTTGGTGTTTCTGACACAAGACATCATAATCAATTGTGATGATGTCATTCAGTCTTTCCATTCAGCTAGTGACTAATCTTGATGTTTCTGTTTCAAGACATCATAATCAATGATGATGTCATTCAGTCTTAATCCATTCAGCTAGTGACTCCCTTGATCTTAGTTTTTCTGGCACAAGATATCCTAATCAATTTTATGATGTCATTCAGTCTTAGTCCATTCAGCTAGTGACTACCTCGATCTTGGTGTTTCTGACTCAAGACATCATAATCAATTTTGATGATTTCATTCAGTCTTAGTCCATTCAGCTAGTTGACTACCTTGTTTTGGTTTTTCTGACACAAGACATCATAATCAATGATGTGTCATTCAGTCTTAATCCATTCAGCTAGTGACTACCTCGATCTTGGTGTTTCTGACTCAAGACATCATAATCAATTTTGATGATGTCATTCAGTCTTAATCCATTCAGCTAGTGACTACCTTGATTTTGGTGTTTCTGACACAATACATCATAATCAATTTTGATGATGTCATTCAGTCTTAATCCATTCAGCTAGTGACTACCTCGATTTGGTGTTTCTGACTCAAGACATCATAATCAATTTTGATGATGTCGTTTCAGTCTTAATCCATTCAGCTAGTGACTACCTTGATTTTGGTGTTTCTGTCACATCATAATCAATTTGATGATTTCATCCAGTCTTAATCCATTCAGCTAGTGACTACCTTGATTTTGGTGTTTCTGACTCAAGACATCATAATCAATTTTGATGATGTCCTTCAGTCTTAGTCCATTCAGCTAGTGACTACCTTGATTTTGGTGTTTCTGACACAAGACATCATAATCAATTGTGATGATGTCATTCAGTCTTAATCCATTCAGCTAACACCTCAATAGTTTCATTTGGTGTTTCACATTCAAGACATCATTTAGTTTTAATCAATTAATTGATGATGTCCTTCAGTCTTAATCCATTCAGCTAGTGACTACCTCGATCTTGGTGTTTTGACACAATATGTCATAATCAATTTGATGATTTCCTCAGTCATAATCATTCAGCTGGTGACTACCTGATGATGTCATTCAGTCTTAATCCATTCAGCTAGTGACTACCTTGATTTTGGTGTTTCTGACTCAAGACATCATAATCAATTTTGATGATTTCATTCAGTCTTAATCCATTCAGGTAGTGACTACCTTGATTTTTGGTGTTTCTGACTCAAGACATCATAATCAATTTTGATGATGTCATTCAGTCTTAATCCATTCAGCTAGTGACTACCTTGATTTTGGTGTTTCTGACACAAACATCATAATCAATTTGATGATGTCATTCAGTCTTAGTCCATTCAGCTTACCTTGATTTTGGTGTTTCTGACTCAAGACATCATAATCAATTTTGATGATGTCATTCAGTCTTAATCCATTCAGCTAGTGACTACCTTGATTTTGGTGTTTCTGACACAAGACATCATAATCAATTTTGATGATTTCCTCCAGTCTTTCCATTCAATAGTGACTACCTTGATTTTGGTGTTTCTGACTCAAGACATCATAATCAATTTTGATGATTTCATTCAGTCTTAGTCCATTCAGCTAGTTACTACCTTGATTTTGGTGTTTCTCACACAAACATCATAATCAATTTTGATGATGTCATTCAGTCTTAGTCCATTCAGCTAGTGACTACCTTGATTTTGGTGTTTCTGACACAAGACATCATAATCAATTTTGATGATGTCATTCCAGTCTTAATCCATTCAGCTAGTGACTACCTTGATTTTGGTGTTTCTGACTCAGAGACATCATAATCAATTTTGATGATGTCATTCAGTCTTAATCCATTCAGCTAGTGACTACCTTGATTTTGGTGTTTCTGACTGACATCATAATCAATTTTGATGATGTCATTCAGTCTTAGTCCATTCAGGTAGTTACTACCTTGATTTTGGTGTTTCTGACACAAGACATCATAATCAATTTGATGATTTCATTCAGTCTTAATCCATTCATAGTGACTACCTTGATTTTTTGGTGTTTCTGACACAAGACATCATAATCAATTTTGATGATTTCATTCAGTCTTAATCCATTCAGCTAGTGACTACCTTGATTTTGGTGTTTCTGACTCAATATGTCATAATCAATTTTGATGATGTCCTTCAGTCTTAATCCATTCAGCTAGTGACTACCTCGATTTTGGTGTTTCTGACTCAATATGTCATAATCAATTTTGATGATGTCATTCAGTCTTAATCCATTCAGCTAGTGACTACCTTGATTTTGGTGTTTCTGACACAAGACATCATAATCAATTTTGATGATTTCATTCAGTCTTAATCCATTCAGCTAGTGACTACCTCGAACAAGACATCATAATCAATTTTGATGATGTCATTTCAGTCTTAATCCATTCAGCTAGTGACTACCTTGATTTTGGTGTTTCTGACTCAATATGTCATAATCAATTTTGATGATGTCATTCAGTCTTAATCCATTCAGCTAGTGACTACCTTGATTTTGGTGTTTCTCCGACAAGACATCATAATCAATTTTGATGATTTCCTTCAGTCTTAATCCATTCAGCTAACCTTGAACATCATAATCAATTTTGATGATTTCCTCAGTCTTAATCCATTCAGCTAGTGACTACCTTGATTTTGGTGTTTCTCACAATATGTCATAATCAATTTTGATGATTTCCTCCAGTCTTAATCCATTTAGTGACTACCTTGATTTTGGTGTTTCTCATGTCATAATCAATTTTGATGATTTCCTCAGTCTTATCCATTCAGGTAGTTACTACCTTGATTTTGGTGTTTTTCTCACAATATGTCATAATCAATTTTGATGATTCATTCAGTCTTAATCCATTCAGCTAGTGACTACCTTGATTTTTGGTGTTTCTCATCAATATGTCATAATCAATTTTGATGATTTCCTCCAGTCTTAATCCATTCAGCTAGTGACTACCTTGATTTTTGTTTCTATCACAATGTCATAATCAATTTTGATGATTTCATTCAGTCTTAATCCATTCAGCTAGTGACTACCTTGATTTTGGTGTTTCTGACAAGACATCATAATCAATTTTGATGATTTCCTCAGTCTTAATCCATTCAGCTAGTGACTACCTCGATTTTGGTGTTTCTGACTCAAGACATCATAATCAATTTTGATGATTTCCTTCAGTCTTAATCCATTCTAGTGACTACCTTGATTTTGGTGTCTCAATATGTCATAATCAATTTTGATGATTTCCTCCAGTCTTAATCCATTCAGCTAGTTACTACCTTGATTTTGGTGTTTCTCACCAATATCATAATCAATTTGATGATTTCCTTCAGTCTTAATCCATTCAGCTAGTGACTACCTTGATTTTGGTGTTTCTGACACAAGACATCTAATCAATTTTGATGATGTCATTTCCTCCAGTCTTAATCCATTCAGGCTAGTGACTAATTTTGGTGTTTCTCCTCAAAAATCAATTTTGATGATTTCATTCAGTCTTAATCCATTCAGCTAGTGACTACCTCGATTTTGGTGTTTCTCACACAATATGTCATAATCAATTTTGATGATTTCATTCAGTCTTAATCCATTCAGCTAGTGACTACCTTGATTTGGTGTTTCTCACTCAATATGTCATAATCAATTTTGATGATTTCCTCCAGTCTTTCCATTCAGGTAGTTACTACCATTTTTTGGTGCAACATCGCATAATCAATTTTGATGATTTCATTCAGTCTTAATCCATTCAGCTAGTGACTACCTTGATTTTGGTGTTTCTCTAAATACATCATAATCAATTTTGATGATTCTCCAGTCTTAATCCATTCAGCTAGTGACTACCTTGATTTTGGTGTTTCTGACAATTGTCATAATCAATTTTGATGATTTCCTCAGTCTTAATCCATTCCATTCATTTTTAATCATTTTGTGATGATGTCATAATTCAGTCTCTTAATCCATTTTTTGACTACCTCGATTTTGGTGTTTCTCGCAATATGTCATAATCAATTTTGATGATTTCATTCAGTCTTAATCCATTCAGCTAGTGACTACCTTGATTTTGGTGTTTTCTGACTCAATATGTCATAATCAATTTTGATGATTTCCTCAGTCTTAATCCATTCAGCTAGTGACTACCTTGATTTTGGTGTTTCTGACAACATCATAATCAATTTTGATGATTTCATTCAGTCTTAATCCATTCAGCTAGTGACTACCTTGATTTTGGTGTTTCTCACACAAGACATCATAATCAATTTTGATGATTTCCTCCAGTCTTTATCCATTCAGCTAGTGACTACCTTGATTTTGGTGTTTTCTCACACAATATGTCCATAATCAATTTTGATGATTTTTCAGTCTTAATCCATTCTAGTGACTACCTTGATTTTGGTGTTTCTCACGCAATATGTCATAATCAATTTTTTGATGATTCTTCAGAGTGACTACCTTGATTTTGGTGTTTCTGACTCAATATGTCATAATCAATTTTGATGATTTCCTCAGTCTTAATCCATTCAGCTAGTGACTACCTTGATTTTGGTGTTTTCACTCAAGATGTCATAATCAATTTTGATGATTTCCTCCAGTCTTAATCCATTCAGCTAGTGACTACCTTGATTTTTGGTGTTTCTGACGCAATATGTCATAATCAATTTTGATGATTTCCTCAGGTCTTAATCCATTCAGCTAGTAACCATTTTGGCAAGTGTTTCTAACAATACCAGTCTTAATCAATTTTGGTGATTTCCTGTCTTAAGACATCATAATCAAGCTAAAACCTTAATCCATTCGCTGTTTTCTCCTTGATCTTGGTGTTTATGTCATAATAATCAATTTTGATGATTTCCTCCAGTCTTAATCCATTCAGCTAAACTACCTTGATTTTGGTGGCAATATGTCATAATCAATTTTGATGATTTCCTCCAGTCTTAATCCATTCAGCTAGTGACTACCTTGATTTTGGTGTTTCTCGCAATATGTCATAATCAATTTTGATGATTTCCTCAGTCTTAATCCATTCAGCTAGTGACTACCTTGATTTTGGTGTTTCTCAATATGTCATAATCAATTTTGATGATTTCCTCCAGTCTTAATCCATTCAGCTAGTGACTACCTTGATTTTGGTGTTTCTGATGTCATAATCAATTTTGATGATTTCCTCCAGTCTTAATCAGCTAGTCTTTGACCTTGATTTAGGTAGTTACTCATCTTGATTTTGGTGTTTCTCTGACACATAAAATAATCATGATTTCCTCAGTCTTAATCCATTCAGCTAGTGACTACCTTGATTTTG